ATGGTACCGCGAACAATACCGCGTCAAGAACACTTTATTTCTAACGCGAACACTGCATGACGATGTGTAAAGCACGACGGTTTATTTTACACGCTATTTCAAAACTACCCAAATTTGAGTAGAGTCCACCCAGATCGGTCAAAACTGAACCTACCCAAAAATGGGTAAACTATGTTCGGAGTGACAAGTTGACAAATGAGCAAAGTCGATCGGTCCTTTTTTTCCATTCGACCGCTGGTCCTTTTTTCCATTCGACCTTTTGTCCCCATTCTCATAATTCGACCTCTAGTCCATTCGACCTTTTGTACCTTCGACCTTTTGTCATTCGACCTTTTGTCATACAAGCGTGTGGATCGCTTTCTGAGGAGATCAAAGTGTGCTGTAAGAACGTGAAACATTTCCGAGTGTCAAATTTTAGGCTTAATTTTTTCTGTCATTGATTTTTTGCTAATGTGCCACTCGATAACATAGTTCTAGAAAAGAACTTTAGTGCAAAGCAAGTGCAAGTGATCGGGTTAAATGCATTTAAAAGTGTTTTTTTTATCAGCATCCTTTTCGTCAGAACTGTTATTAGGCGGTTGGCAAGTTGGCCCGATGATTATGATTGGATTGGAGGTGGATTATGCAAGAGTTTCTTCTAAGGTCCGATGGAATGGTTTAAAGTGTTGAGCTAGAACTAGGAGATGCAACAGTCTTCCATGTTTTTGCTTCACGGGTAAACCATCGTTCATTTGGTGAGTTAGTTCCTGTTTATATGTTCAGTTTCGGTTTCTACAACTTTGTCTTAGACATCATTTCGAAAAGCCGCTTTGGTGCTTTATTTTGATGAGAAATTAAGTGTCGAGTGCGCTACTGTCAAAGGTTGGGAACGAGTGGGTATGGCCAAATTCCAACATAGATTTGTAAATTGGTTCATTCGGCAAGATAGTCTTTCTAGTGTTTTTTTTCTGGATTTAGACGTTTGATATTTTGTACTTGAAAGTTCCCTTTTTGTGATCATGATTTGCCTGAAGAATTTTTGAATTAGTAGCAAGACAGTAAGAGTACAAAATTATTGAAACTTGCTGAGATCTTCCCTTTATTTTTATTTAAATGCTCTTAAATTTATAATATATTTTCGTTCTATTGCTCTCTACTGAAATCTAGCTCTCACCTGTTCGTGTTCAGCGTTGGAAAATTTTGCGAGGTTTTATGAAGCACACACAAGAAAAGGTTGTTTGCGAGTCATTGTGAGTTTTAGCGATCTTTTCCTGTAGATTGATTTGAGACCCGTTTTTCAGTTTTTACACAAGGGAAGTAGAATAAGGGTTCCTTCCTCCTTTTTATTTCTCCTACGGCATTTTATTCCATTTTTCTCTTTTCAGAAAGCGAGTAATGACGCTATAACCATAAGCCATAAAGGGCTAAGACAAGAGTAAGTGCTCGTGTTCCAACCACTCGAAGAAAATGGAGCATCATTTAACTTTTTTAGATTCGATGCTCCCAACGACCAATCATTTATAGGTAACAATACAACGGAACGTTCGGTACGAGATGTCCACGTTTCATCCATTTATTGGGTTCTGAAGCATCGTGTTTAAATTTTTGATTTAAACAGACCTGATGTTTTTGAATCATCTTGCCCCTTAAATTTTGCACAGTAGGCCTGGTCTTTTTGATATAATATGCGCATCTCTGATGTATACAATATACCAAATAGACAAGAAAATGGATGCTTTCATGAACTGGCTATGTTGGTGTTAGATTATATTAGACAAGCGTGTGGATCGCATTCTCAAAGATTGGTTCGAAAAGAGTGTGCGAAGCAAATGGAAGATAAAGAGGAGTGATATGGGATGCATACACAAAGTTTCTTTCACACTTGGAAATGATTAGCGACGTCGGTATTTTTTACCGAACCTTCAAAAGTTCGGTAAAATCAGGCATTAGTTTTAAAGCAAGGAAAACTTCACCACGATGGCAAGATTCAAATATTGAATGAAGAATGACAGTGTTATGAAGTTAAAATTTAGTGAAATAGCTTTTGAAATTAGGGCCAACGTATTATCGAACGTGCAGCTGTTGAATGTAAGGTAAAAAATTACCGAAGCCGGTAATAATTTCTAAGTGTGTTGCAAACGCTCTGAGGCGCTTTCCATCCCTGTTTCTGGGTAAATATTTTAATGTAAAAATTTTCATGCGGAAAAATTCCTAGCAGAGCTGTGCATCGAAATGTATACTGGTGTATGTAGTGTGTATATGAATGTAAGCAAAAAAGAAATTCTCACATTGCTGCATTTCCTCAATCGGAACAAAAATGTGTGATAGAGGGGCAGCGGATGAATTCCTGCCCCAAGCAGAAGGCCTCGAAGTAACCTGGAACCTGAAGAACGAAAGCAGATCTGTTCGGTAGCGAGATCCCCACTCAGCTACAACCCTGGTCATCACTATCCGCAGCTAGCCACCACAATAGTCTGTCTGTGCAACCGCCGGCGGAGTTGTTTACGTCTGGGCTATTGTTCTGGACCCTTATGTACCACACCATGAGGATAGACGATATCGATCGACAAGCAAACTTAATGTTCTCATGTATTTCTGTAAGGCTAGGGTTAGGTAGTAGAAAGATCCAATGTGATCTAAACGGAGTAGAAGAGCGGATGATCACGACCGACGAGAGTGTCGACCTGGCTTGCCAGACCATCGACCATCGGGATCCGTGACGTCACGTCTCTCGCAACAGATCAGCTTCTCTGGATCTGTTGCATTGCTCTAAATTAAAACCGATCGGCAGTTGCGAACAGGTCATCGGACGGACCACTGGTTACGGTCATACGGTCGCGGTAAACCGCATATTTGTATTCCTTTGTGTAGTCTAGTTAGTTACGTCGATTAATAAATGTAGTGTCCGTTAGTTTGTGTTTATAATAAATCATGCGTTTTGATATTGTGATTACGTGAGTGAGTTTTCTGGAATCAAGTGAAGAATTCCAACTATCAAGGGAGATTCGGAAGGACAAGTGCACACACTCGCCGTTAATTTCCTTTCGGCTGATTGACGGACAAATGATCGTTCCTGCTGCTGCATGCTTCTGTGTTGGACCCCTGAAAATCAACTGCTATTGAAGGTGAGACGGTTCAGGGCACAACATATGGTCCTTCGAGCCGGAGTTTTGGACTCCGGTAGACGACACTGGAACGAAGCCATCGCGAAGGCAAGCCAATGCCTTGCTAGAAACCGCCACAGTATTGTGTGCTATTGTACCATTGTCCGCGAGCCACAATCAAATCAGCCATCGCGGAACGCTGGAAAGCTGGAACAGCAATTTGGTGCTGGACTGCGCCATTGCTCTGGACGTCTATTGAAGACTGGCGCTGGGCTGCGCCATTGCCTTTGGAAAGACTGTGAGGATTATCGCGCCATTGGACACACTACACGAAACGCTGGGACTGCATGAGAGTCGATTCACCTTCGAGACTGCATCACATACATCGGACGGACGGTCGCTGCATGGTATATTGAACCAGCACGACTTCCTGGTTTCACAGGTAAGCAAACCTTAGCTCAGTATATGTCACGGCCGAAGCCAATCTCGAATCGATTCTAATCCCGCCATTTCGATTTTACCTGACCTGTTCCGGAACTCAACCGAGTACGACGAGTGAATTGAATCGACACCCACTAGAACAACGGTGCACCAGGACTACTACGTGCATGAATTCCGCGGTTCACAGTCTGATCGTCTATTGGAATTGGTCACGGATCGATCGTCTACTGGACTGACTGAATTTGCGGAACGATCGCTTGAGGAGGCACACCTATCGAAGAGGCAGCGCAACCGGTTTTCTGGCCAGGTAAACTATAAAATTTACAGTATATGCCACGAAGCTAGGCTCAGAAATACACGTAGTAAATTTATATTATCCTCTTCAATTGATTGTGCCTGCATCCCTGATCCTGTTTGAGCATTACGACGAATTCAAATTGACTCGTTGATGAATTGATCGATCACGCCTTGGACCATTCGTGAATAACAAATTTGATAGTTGAAATCACCATTACGTACCACTCCTTCCCCTCCCGGCGTTGGCCTACGCAGCTGTTTGTTTCTCCAGGTGAGATAAACAGTATATGGCCAGCCGTGGCCAGGTTCTCTTGATGCTACATAACTCTTTGTCCTCCTCTCACTGACGCAACCCATGTGAACTTACTGACGCAATCCGTGCGAGTTATCTGCTGAGATCGTTGTTGATGCTTGATTCTCGGACCGCTACGCTAGCATTGATCCTCTATCGACTTGGGCAACGTACTGCAACTGTTTCTGCCAGGTAAATAACACTGGACAGTATATGCCCTACCGAAGCTAGGATCAATCTCTGCATACTACATAGCGCTTTCTTTGTGTACCTCTGACTTATCGCACCATGCCTGTTTCATCATCATCGAGGACGAAGACGATGTCCCTGAAGCCATTAATTACGAAACTGAGGGAGTACCAAAGTTCCTTCAATGATATTTGGGAGTTCGTTGAGGATGTTCCGACAGATGCTGTTGCGTCGGATATGTCCATACGTTTGGAGAGACTCGATGAATTGAGGGTGAAAATCGAGGAATCTTTGATTGAGGTGAAATCACACGTTAGTTACAATGACGAGAAATATCCGCTCGACGATGAGAGAAAAGAGTTCAGCACGCGTTATTACAAAGCGAAATCGTTTCTCATGGAAAAGCTCAAGGAGCTCAGGGGACTGCAAATCCCGAGCAATCGTTTCGAGCTACAGCTTCGACGACTGCTGGCAATCTCGATCACGCTCGCTTACCACAGATAAGGTTGCAATCATTCAATGGAGACATAAACGAGTGGTTAAGTTTCCGCGATCTGTTCACTTCGCTTATCCACTTTCGAACAGATCTGCCAGAAGTTGAAAAATTTCATTACTTGAAGGGATGTCTACAAGGGGAGCCTAAAGGCCTCATAGACCCGATACAAATTACCAAAACCAACTATCAAGTAGCCTGGGATATGCTCGTCTCGCGGTACAGCAACAGTAAGCAGCTTAAGAAACGCCAGATACAAACACTCTTCGATCTACCTACGCTGGCTAAGGAATCAGTTGCTGATTTGCACAAGCTGGTGGAAGGTTTCCAACGTGCCGTACAAACATTAGATCAAATAATTCAACCTGTGGACTACAAGGATCTCTTGTTGGTCAATCTTCTCATCTCGCGGTTGGATCCTGTGACAAGACGAGGGTGGGAGGAATCCTCGGCAAGCAAAGATCAGGAAACGCTCAAGGATTTGACAGAATTTCTCCAGCGACGTATTGGAGTTCTAGAATCGTTGCCAGCACGGACGACAGACTTCAAGGGATTGCAAAAACCATCGTCATCGTCAGCTTCGGTGAAACAACGATTGCCGATCGTGAAGACAAGCTTCAACACAGTCCAGGAACCTCGGAAGGGCTGCGTTAGTTGTTCGGCAGATCATCTCCTATTCCAATGCCAGGTTTTCCAGCGAATGGCTTCATCCGATAAAGAAGCATTGCTGCGTTCTCATGGTCTGTGCCGAAACTGCCTCAAACAAGGTCACCAGGCAAGGGAGTGTCGATCGAAATTCTCGTGTCGGAAGTGTACGGGACGCCATCATACGCTTGTCTGCTTCAAACCAGATGCGAAGGGTGGAGCTGCTTCGAAAACCATTAGCAATGAATCTTCCAATCATCCAGATGGACCAGATGGAGATGCTTCATCACCTCAGGTGGCAAACATGGCAGCCACCGACGTTACAATTTCTACGTCGTCCAATAGTTACTCGTCGCAAGCAGTGTTGGCAACTGTGGTCCTTATCATCGAGGATGACCACGGCAATCAATATCCAGCACGAGCTCTTCTGGATTCAGGCTCGGAGAGCAACTTCGTCACTAAGCAGTTGAGTCAACGACTGAAGGTAGCCCGAGAAGCTGTGAGCATTTCCGTCGTTGGAATTGGTGAAGCAGCAACCAAGGCAAAGCAGCGAATCCAAGCAGTGGTGCGATCGAGAGTGTCAGGCTTCTCTCGAGAACTAAATTTCCTGGTATTACGAAGAGTGACCGCAAAACTACCCACGATTTCCATCGACACTACGGGATGGAAAATTCCACAAGGCATCGAATTGGCAGATCCGTCGTTCTTTGTATCGAGGAATGTGGACATAGTGCTTGGCATTGAGACGTTCTTCGAATATTTCGAGACGGGTCGTCAGTTATCGCTGGGCAAACAGCTACCAATGCTAGCCGAATCGGTATTCGGATGGGTAGCCTGCGGAGGAACTCCATTAGCTGGTCGACAGCCGATCACTTGTAACGCGTCGGCTTCGAATGATCTGGAAGAGATGGTGGCTCGATTTTGGTCCTGCGAGGAGGTCGAGTCATCACGGGCCTATTCACCAGAACAAACTCGCTGCGAATCACTGTTCACCCAGGCAGTACAACGTGACGCAGATGGACGATATACTGTTCCAATACTGAAGGATGGAGACGAATTTCAACGGCTGGGCGAGTCAAGGGACATAGCGTTTCGACGTCTCCAAGGCACGGAACGAAGGCTGGCAAAGGATGCCAGTCTACGGCAACAGTATACAGCTTTCATGGACGAATACCTCGCATTAGGCCACATGCGTAAAGTAGACGAATCACAAGAGACGGTTAAGCGCTGTTACCTACCGCATCACCCGGTGGTCAAGGAGGCTAGCACCACCACCAAGGTTCGCGTTGTCTTCGACGCGTCCTGTAAGACGTCTACAGGTATTTCGCTCAATGATACGCTACATGTTGGACCTGTAATACAGCAGGATCTACGGTCGATCATAATGCGCTGTCGGATAAAGCAAATCATGCTGGTGTCTGACATCGAAAAAATGTTCCGTCAGATCAACATTCGACCAGAAGACAGACCACTGACATGTATTCTCTGGCGGCCTCGTCCAACCGATGAGGTCACGACGCACGAGCTTGGCACAGTTACGTACGGAACCAAATCAGCACCGTTCCTGGCAACGAGGACGCTGCATCAGCTTGCGACGGAAGAAGAAGATCGATTCCCGCTGGCAGCGAAGGCAATCCGCGAAGACACGTATATGGATGACGTGATCACAGGTGCTGATACAATCGAGGAGGCAACTGATCTACGAAAAGAACTCGTGGACATGCTGAAGGGTGGAGGATTTCGACTTCGGAAGTGGGCCACCAATCAATCGGCGACATTGCAAGGACTTTCTGAAGAGGAACTTGCGATTCGACTCACGGAAGGGATCAACTTGGATCCAGATCCATCAGTCAAGACGTTGGGACTTACTTGGATACCCTCTACGGATGAGTTTAGGTACCAATTCAGCATTTCACCACTCGATCCCAGCGAATCACTTACCAAGCGCAAGATTCTGTCAACGATAGCAGGACTATTCGACCCAACAGGTTTCCTGGGACCCACAATCCTCTCTGCCAAGATCTTTCTTCAACAACTGTGGGCATGGCGAAACGAAGATGGTATCGGACTAGATTGGGATCAGCCTGCGCCTTCAACGGTGGGTGAGCGTTGGCAGAAATTCCATGAGCAACTCCCGCGACTCAATCAAATTATTAGTCGCTGCGTAATCACTCCCAGACCAGTGAGCGTTCAGATACATTGCTTTTCGGACGCTTCCGAGTGAGCATATGGTGGATGCGTGTACTTGCGGAGTCAAGATGTGGAAGGAAGAGTCATCGTTCGTCTTCTAACCTCCAAATCCAAGGTAGCACCGTTAAAATGTCAAACGATTCCTCGGTTGGAGCTCTGCGGCGCATTGCTATCGGCGCAGTTATTCGAGAAGGTGCTACAATCAATCAAGATCGACGCTTCTGCACACTTCTGGACGGACTCAACGTGCGTACTTCGATGGTTGGCATCATCTCCATCGAACTGGAACACCTTCGTGAGCAACAGGGTAGCGAAAATACAAACCCTTACCGAAGGATTTCAGTGGCGACATGTACCAGGTCTTGAAAATCCTGCAGACATGATATCTAGGGGACTTTCGCCGGAAGACCTAATCCAGAACGATTTCTGGTGGCACGGTCCACGTTGGTTAGCCGAGGAGGAAAATAGATGGCCCACTACGGCAGAAATCCCAACAGAAGACGAACATCAGATCGAGACTTGACAAACCGTTGCAGCAGGGACATCATCCACGTTGGCAAACTTCAATGATTGGTACATCAGCAAGTTTCCAAACTACACCAGCCTCATAAGATGCACAGCGGTATGGAAACGGTTAATAAGACGCTTGAAAACTCGATCGGCTGACCATGCGGTAGGGTTTCTCACCATTTCGGAATTAAGACAAGCAGAATTCACCATAATTCGTTTGATTCAACGGGAAACCTTCTCCGAAGAGCGAACGGCGTTGTCTCAGGGAAGGCTGGTCTCCAAAAAATCACCACTTAGGTGGTTTAATCCATATCTCCCGGAGGATCAACTTCTACGTGTAGGAGGAAGACTGCGTCATTCCAACGAGTCTGAAGGTACCAAGCACCCACTAGTCTTACCGGCTTACCATCGATTAACCAGGATGATTACGGAGCACTACCATCACATCCTGTTACACGCAGGACCGCAGCTTCTATTGAGCACCATCCGATTGAAGTTTTGGCCATTAGGAGGGAGGAATGTAGCTCGACAGGTTGTCCATCGTTGCTTGAAATGCTTCAGAGCAAAACCGCCGCCGCTTCAGCAGTTCATGGGAGAGCTGCCATCAGCCAGAGTCACCGTGTCGCGTCCGTTCGCTAAGGCTGGTGTGGATTACTTCGGACCTGTCTTCGTACGTCCTGGTCCACGGCGTGTCACCGTCAAGGCCTACGTAGCAGTATTCATCTGCATGGCGACAAAGGCAGTTCAACTGGAGCTCGTCTCGGATTTATCCACCGATCGATTCCTCCAAGCTCTTCGCCGTTTCATAGGACGGAGAGGCAGGTGTACCGACATGTATAGCGATAACGGGACCAACTTTGTCGGAGCAAAAAATCGGCTCCAGGAACTGTTCACGATGTTGCGGGACAGTAAGCACCAGGAAGCGGTAACCAAATACTGCTCAAACGAAGGCATCCAATGGCACTTCAATCCTCCAAATGCTCCTGACTTTGGTGGCCTTTGGGAGGCGGCCGTGCGATCAGCCAAACATCATCTGCTTAGAGTCGTTGGAGAAGAACCGATCTCGCCAGAAGATTTTCAAACCCTGCTCGTGCAAATCGAAGCGTGCCTTAATTCCCGGCCGATTACGCCCATCTCTGATGACCCAAACGACCTAGAGCCATTGACACCAGGCCACTTCCTTATCGGTTCATCCCTCCACGAGCTACCTGAACCTGACTGGTTAAATGTTCCAACAAACCGACTGAATCGTTATCAACAGCTACAGCAGAAGTTCCAGGGATTTTGGAATAGATGGCGCAAGGAGTATTTGTGCCAACTCCAAGGACGTACGAAACGCTTAGGTCCAGCGAAACAAATCGAGGTCGGTAGATTGGGGGTAGTTTGCGACAAGAATCTACCCCCAATACGGTGGAAAATGGGACGAATTACTGAGACCCATCCAGGTGAAGACGGAGCCGTTCGAGTTGTAACACTGAAAACGAAGGATGGATTCCTCAAGCGACCGGTGGAAAGGATATGCCTGCTCCCTAGCCTGGATAACACGAAGAACACTGAACGGCCCGAAGCTCAACCAACAAACCCCACCGAATCCTGATCGCATCCTTATCCCTTTCGAAGAGGAAGTTTCTTTTTTTCGTTTCAGAAATTGCAGCAATTTCAGGGTGGGTGAGAGTGTTCGGTAGCGAGATCCCCACTCAGCTACAACCCTGGTCATCACTATCCGCAGCTAGCCACCACAATAGTCTGTCTGTGCAACCGCCGGCGGAGTTGTTTACGTCTGGGCTATTGTTCTGGACCCTTATGTACCACACCATGAGGATAGACGATATCGATCGACAAGCAAACTTAATGTTCTCATGTATTTCTGTAAGGCTAGGGTTAGGTAGTAGAAAGATCCAATGTGATCTAAACGGAGTAGAAGAGCGGATGATCACGACCGACGAGAGTGTCGACCTGGCTTGCCAGACCATCGACCATCGGGATCCGTGACGTCACGTCTCTCGCAACAGATCAGCTTCTCTTCTCAGGACCCCTGAAAATCAACTGCTATTGAAGGTGAGACGGTTCAGGGCACAACAAGATCCATGAAAAGCTCGCCCAGGATGAAGATCGATGATATAGCAGTTTGGATGCTAGTTCGTACGCAGGTGTGGTGGTCGGAGGTTCCACAGCGAAATTGAGGTGCTCGATGAAAAAGCCTTGGAAATCGACCGGAGGCTGAAGATAACGAAAAAAGAGAACAATCAAGCGAAAGTCAGGTTCAGCTGCGAGCTTTTTTTTTTCAACTACTAGAAAGACCCGACCTACTTAGTGGCAATGAAACCATTCAGAACAGAAGCTAATAAAACATGAGAAAGGAGAAAGTTGTGGGTGCGGGAGAAAACAATCAGCAAGCAGTCACGTCCCAGGAAAAAATGAACTCATGTGTGATTCTCGTTCTTATTTATTGTATAAAAATTTATTAATCGGCTCCAATGCTATGGTTTCACATCATCAACCTAATGCAAAACTGAAAATTCAGAACATTCTTCATTTTGTAATCAGTAGCTGCAGTTTTACCACTACACCACTGCCACTACCCCATATTATCTTTTTAGAGGATTGATGTCTTCAGAAAGGTTGTTTATATTGCCGCTTACTGGAACTTTTCTAAAGACACACCCAATCTCCACTTTTCAAAAAACTTAATTATGTGTCTCACTTTTAGGGCTGTTTCATTCAACGGGACCGTCAAAAGATGGTATTTCGCATGCTTGGAATCTTCTTTTTTAAGTATATAGGGTTACGGTATGTAATGTGGGTCTAGTCCTTTCATTCGGCCTATCACGCAAATAAATAATTAATTAAGGAATATTACACAAAAAATAAGGAAAATATTGATCACTGATGGTTGATAAATGTGTACCACACACAAATCAATTTATATCACAACATTTCAATACATTTTCAGCTCTCGTAAGTAATAAAACTGGTTGAGAATATCACAATGTTCGGAGTTTTTAGCCGCCATGACTTATAAGGTTAAGATGGGAAGGTTGACTGACGATCATCAAATGGCCTGATTATGGCATTTATTGATTGGAATTACCTGATAATACACACTAGACGTAAAACTTACAGTTGCTGTTTGAATATTTTATGTTTATTTTAATTGTTTAACAACGTTTTCACAAGTAAAACATGGACCCAACTTTAGGGACACATTTCTTTTCTATGTTCCTAACTATGGCCCATGAAATTCATTTGACAGCATATAGCAATAAGAGTAACGTCAACAATGTTGTTTTGCATTTGGATGATAAGGAACGAACAGGAAGGGAGATTTTTTCTGCCAAACCTGTATAATGAACATCACAATGTTCTGATTTAGATATTCTGCGGTCAAAAGACGATAAGCGAAATTTTTAATTTTTAATTTTTAAATTGAGTGATTTAATGTAGTTTTCGTAAAATTTTCTCTAAGAAATGTTTTGAGGAATGAAGAGCATTAAGTTAACAGTGATAGTGATAAAAAAAAATACATCAGAAAACGTTACCAAGAGCGTTTTTTTGAGGATCAAACAAGATAGGACGAAGTTGCATCCATAAATAGACCCAATTTGGGGACAATAGACCCATATTACATACATTTCCCTCGTGAGTTATTGTCTTAAAAAAAGTAAGTTTTTCAACTTTTCGTGGTTTCTGATAGCAAACGACATGATAAGCATATCTAAGCATACCATTTAGCAGTAGAATATCGTTTGCAGGTAAATTCATTGATGAGTTATGATTAAAAACGTAATCGATGGCTGCATATTAGACCGAGGTTAGGGACGTATACCCTAAATAAAAGGTTTTGGAGTAATGCCTCGCTATCACGTTTTTCGCCGTTTGGACCACTGTGGAGAGTCAAGGGTCAAATACTATTCTACTCAGCACGACGAGATCAGGAAATGTATGTATGTGTCTGTGTGTTACAAAATGTTGGGTGATGTGTTTCTCAGCAACTGGACCGAATTGGATGCAACAACCAGTGATGCAAAATATCATGACACTCACTCGACACTCGTCAACGCATCAACCGATTATCGCTGACAGAATGTTTTGTCTCGCAGTGAGAGCTAGAGCCATGGCAAACAACAATCACCAGTGATGGTCGCTGCTCACAGGCAAAACGTAACAATCGCTGCTGATGATGTAAAGCACAACGAAAACAGTGAAGACTTCTGCAGTACGATGATGAGAAAAAGCGAAACGACAAAAGAAAATGAAAACAATATCTACACATTCCAAATTTGTCTCGGCCCGTATGACTCTGTGAGTTACAAACAATGCTGGCAAAATTAAACGGAAGCTGTTGGGCTCACTCACCAACACTCTCACATAAGCAAGCAAAACAGCAACTGCTTTAAAACGAGCACAGATGAGTGTCGTGATTGTCGGGAATGACCACATCGGTGATGGATCACCTCCAAAGGCGACATTCACCAGTTGCTTTTGCTGATGGATGGTCATGGAGAGTGCTTTTACAAGCACATT